TCTATTTATCTATGGGATATAGCTACTTTAACGAAGCTTACAACGACGAATAACACTGTGACAAGTGGGTATCAGGAATTATTTTATTGTTGTTTCAGTTTTTCATCTTTTCTTATAGATGTTTTGTGTCCAATCATTGGTTTTTTCTAACATTGTGGATTTCCAGCCTCTTCGCTCATGGGATGCAAAAACAGCATCTATGCGTTAGCAATGAACGATGCAGGAACGGTGATTATATCAGGAAGCACAGAAAAGGTGATTGGAGATTTTAGTTTTCAATTTTCAAGCTAATCAGACGGATTAGATTGGCAGGCAGTTCAAGCTAGGTGAAAAACAAATAATTAAAAAGTAGATTCACAGTAAACTGACTATCGTCTGAATTTGCAAAAATAATTATACGCCGATTTATGCTAAGCATAATGATGTTTGTAAATACAGGTACTACGGATTTGGGATCCCAGGACCTGTCAAAAGATTATGAAATTGCGAGGACATACAGAGAATATTCGATCTATCGTGATTAGTCCCGATGGAACCAAGGTAAACTGTTGGCTGAATATAACTACTAGAATCTCAAATAACTTTGATGCTCATGCAGTGTTTGTCTGCAAGTGCTGATGCAACCGTACGCTTATGGGATCTTGGACAACAACGATGCATTGCCACTTGTCTGGCTCATCAAGAAGGCGTATGGACATTGCAAGTGAGTTACGAGAACAGTAACAGCTCGTAGAAACATAGCAAAGTGTTTCTCATGAAATGTCTTTTTTGATATTTTTCAAGTCAAAAGGGACTTAGACTTTCATCCGAATTAAAGTTTTTGCGTTTCTTTACAGACAGACAGAGCCTTTTCTTTCGTGTACAGTGCTGGTAGGGATCGACGAGTTTTTCGAACGCCCATATGTGATTTCGCTCAGAGCCAACTCCTCTTTGAGGAAGACGCTTTTGTGAAGCGGGTAATGGCATCCATTCGTGAAGTTGTCATTGTCGGAAGTGTACATAGATTTACAGCTCCTTTTGGACGACCACGATCATCCATCAGCCGTATGGTCAGCAACATGGAATTCAACCATAAAGAGGTTTGTGAGCAATGTGGTCTAATTTGCTATATAATATCACAAATTTATAATAGGTGGCCACTGCCATCTAATACGCAGTTGTCGATTGGCGACGGTCAAATGGAGGATGAATTCGGGCATCTTGCAATAGATTCACTTCGTCGAACTCCGGATGTGATAACACCAGGTTAGTAGGATTTGAGATTTATTGTCCTATATCAAACTTTACTTTGGTGTGTTAGGTACCACACTTTGAGCTCAAAAATATGGATTTTGAGGTTAGCTTATGTCTATTCAACATTCTATCTTTAAAAACTGTAGCAATGTCTGTGTGTTTGAAACTAGTGTTCAGTTTGAAATGCATCGTGTACGGGCTAGTAGTGTCCGCGCAATTTTAATAAAAAATACCATTTTAGTATGCAAAAATTCTTGTTGAAATATCATTTTCAGGAGCGACATCTATAAAGCACGCTGGCGTTCTCAATGACAAACGTCACGTCATCACCAAAGACTCAGATGATTGTATAGGCCTATACGATGTGTTGGCGGGAAGAAAGGTAAGCTATCGTATCGTATCGTATTAATCAGTTTGGCTACGAAACTGTCGTTGTGTAGGTTTGGCGCAGTGGCAGTGTTCCTGTCTGTAGCGCGCACGGTGCAATGCTCGATCCCGACAAGCGTTAATTCATCCAGTTCGCACAATATGTATTGTGGCGAATTTCAGCGAGTAACGCGATAGTGTCCAGGCCTTCAGTTTGAAGCTGTGTGGCAGTGCTGCCAGCAGTACAGATTGGGACCTCACATTTATC